GCTGCGACGGGACAGAAAAGGAGAAAGAGCTTTTTATACAGAAAACCAAATAACCAACGGTAACCGCTAGTATCCCTACTCCGGACTATATTCTAATAGTGACACGGTTGAATGATTTTGTGCCAGAAATCTTGTTTTTCTTAAACATAAGAGTGTTTCAAGACTTTTTGTGCAATTTAAGCCCAATCTCACCAATAGAAGAGCTTTTATAGCTGCTTTGTTAACCCCGGGGTCATTTATTTTAGGGCCATGCAGTTTTATACCTAACTGACCATTTTTGCAATAGAAATACTGCTACTCGCTATGGCTTAACAAAAATTCACAATATTTAGCATGTCAAAACGTTTATTCGCACTTCCATAATGTTTATTGCCAAAATCACTGAACCATGAAACAAAAAAATGGTCAAATCTAGTCATTTTTGATCAGAGATTACCCCAAATTAGCCATTATTTAGTGATTAATTTTCAGTAAATTAGCTTCTATATTAAATTATCATATCAGTTTTGCATAGCAATGTTCTTGTTTTAATTACATGCATGTTAGTAACTGTTTTCAGCCATATTTAGTCAGTCTATTGGGTTAAATGTGTCAAATTTGTCATATATTTTCAAGAAAAATTCAGACACAAAGGAAAAAGCTGTATTACATGCTATGATAATGGCTAAATCCTTAAATTCGGTAATAATTTGATAAAAGCCTGTCAACAACCTCTTAAAACCAGCACTAACAGCCCTCTTGTGCTATCCTGTAACAAAATACAGGCCAAAAATGGTCAAAACCTGTGATTTTTAGGTAAAAAATGAAAAATGCTGAATCAGCGAAAATCTCAATTGCTAATTCTTCAGATAATTCGATTTTTCTTAGAGATGCAAGGTACACATTGCTAAGAAAGTGTAATTTTTACAAAAATAACGCTATTTCCCACCCTAGTACTGTCACCACCCTGTTGCTAATAGGGTCAAGATTGCAGTAAAAAATCCCATTGACGACCATTATAACGTTTCATTTCATAATATATTCATGGGCACAGATCTAGCTCAGCGAAACAGTGCCCAGTGTTCATTGGAGTCTTGTCTAGCTTGCCGTTACAATATAAGCATACGGTGACCACACCGTTTTTGAGATAACTGAATCTGGAGAGAGCTACCACCGTAAAGCTACCTGTTTCAGAAAATTATTCTGCTCTACATAGTCTCAAAAATCACTCCGCCATCTATAAAAATTCTGTTTCTAACCAGACTTGTAAATGTTTCCTGATAGATTAGTACTTACCCTATCGAGAATAAACCTTGATTCATTTATCAAACACTAGATGGCGCTGCGACGGGACAGAAAAGGAGAAAGAGCTTTTTATACAGAAAACCAAATAACCAACGGTAACCGCTAGTATCCCTACTCCGGACTATATTCTCAGGCATTGATGTTGGTTGAGGCCAAATATAGATGAGCCATAGTTTAGTATAGGCTGGACTAAAGAGTCATATAGCTTGTTGTAAACTGCGAACTCCATACCGCCAGTTTGCTTGTATTTGCTGATAATCACACTCAGGGCTCTATTTGCTGATTTTGCAATTTCTCTGGCAGAATGTGTTGAGTCCACATGTTACAAAACGATATCATTTGTTTATACGTGTAATGTGTCATTACAAAACGATATCATTTGTTTATACGTGTAATGTGTCATTACAAAACGATATCATTTGTTTATACGTTTCATGTGTCATTACAAAACGATATCATTTGTTTATACGTTTCATGTGTCATTACAAAACGATATCATTTGTTTATACGTTTCATGTGTCATTACAAAACGATATCATTTGTTTATACGTTTCATGTATCATTACAAAACGATATCATTTGTTTATACGTGAAATGTGTCATTACAAAACGATATCATTTGTTTATACATGTAATGTGTCATTACAAAACGACATCATTTGTTTATACGTATAATGTGTCATTACAAAACGATATCATTTGTTTATACGTTCCATGTGTCATTACAAAACGATATCATTTGTTTATACGTTCCATGTGTCATTACAAAACGATATCATTTGTTTATACGTGTAATGTGTCATTTCAAAACGATATCATTTGTTTATACGTTCCACGTATCATTACAAAACGATATCATTTGTTTATACGTTTCATGTGTCATTACAAAACGATATCATTTGTTTATACGTTTCATGTGTCATTACAAAACGATATCATTTGTTTATACGTTTCATGTATCATTACAAAACGACATCATTTGTTTATACGTGAAATGTGTCATTACAAAACGATATCATTTGTTTATACGTGTAATGTCTCATTACAAAACGACATCATTTGTTTATACGTGTAATGTGTCATTACAAAACGATATCATTTGTTTATACGTTTCATGTGTCATTACAAAACGACATCATTTGTTTATACGTTCCATGTGTCATTACAAAACGATATCATTTGTTTATACGTGTAATGTGTCATTACAAAACGATATCATTTGTTTATACGTTTCATGTGTCATTACAAAACGATATCATTTGTTTATACGTTTCATGTGTCATTACAAAACGATATCATTTGTTTATACGTTTCATGTGTCATTACAAAACGATATCATTTGTTTATACGTTTCATGTGTCATTACAAAACGATATTATTTGTTTATACGTTCCATGTGTCATTACAAAACGATATCATTTGTTTATACGTTTCACGTGTCATTACAAAACGATATCATTTGTTTATACGTTTCATGTGTCATTACAAAACGATATCATTTGTTTATACGTTTCATGTGTAATTACAAAACGATATCATTTGTTTATACGTGTAATGTGTCATTACAAAACGATATCATTTGTTTAAACGTTTCATGTGTCATTACAAAACGATATCATTTGTTTATACGTTCCATGTGTCATTACAAAACGATATCATTTGTTTATACGTTCCATGTGTCATTACAAAACGATATCATTTGTTTATACGTTTCATGTGTCATTACAAAACGATATCATTTGTTTATACGTTTCATGTGTCATTACAAAACGATATCATTTGTTTATACGTTTCATGTGTCATTACAAAACGATGTCATTTGTTTATACGTGTAATGTGTCATTACAAAACGACATCGTTTGTTTATACGTTTCATGTGTCATTACAAAACGATATCATTTGTTTATACGTTTCATTTGTCATTACAAAACGATATTATTTGTTTATACGTTTCATGTGTCATTCCAAAACGATATCATTTGTTTATACGTTTCATGTGTCATTACAAAACGATATCATTTGTTTATACGTTCCATGTATCATTACAAAACGATATCATTTGTTTATACGTGTAATGTGTCATTACAAAACGATATCATTTGCTTATACGTTTCATGTGTCATTACAAAACGATATCATTTGTTTATACGTTTCATGTGTCATTACAAAACGATATCATTTGTTTATACGTGTAATGTGTCATTACAAAACGATATCATTTGTTTATACGTTTCATGTGTCATTACAAAACGATATCATTTGTTTATACGTTCCATGTATCATTACAAAACGATATCATTTGTTTATACGTTTCATGTGTCATTACAAAACGATATCATTTGTTTATACGTTTCATGTGTCATTACAAAACGATATCATTTGTTTATACGTGTAATTTGTCATTACAAAACGATATCATTTGTTTATACGTGTAATGTGTCATTACAAAACGATATCATTTGTTTATACGTGTAATGTGTCATTCATAAATTAATTCATTTGTTTATACGTTCCATGTGTCATTACAAAACGATATCATTTGTTTATACGTGTAATGCGTCATTGCAAAAGGATATCATGTGTTTATACGTTTAATCAATATCAAGGGGGTTGGGTTTAAATCAACTTTAATAAACAGTTCTGCTTTTGTAAGATCAGTTTCATGGCCACTGACCGTGACCAACTCGATTTCGCCGATTCGTTTCGGTAACAAAATGTCGGAACCTCGAAGGTACGATTTTCTTTTTTCACGCACTGCAGGCAGAATTCCTCGACATTTGACATTTCTACATTTTTATCACAAACGTGTGTCAGTATCATATGTTTAAGAAAATGTACAGGTTTAGAAACATGTAGTTCGGAAGACAACAGAATCGTCAACTGAACTTTTTTACGTAAACGGAACGGGCTAGACGTGCAGATATTATTTCCGAAGTTTCGTTTACGTAACAAAAGCGAGGTAATATATGATTTAAGCCACATTGGATATGGGTACATGATGACGTATACGTCTGATGATGCCTTTCAAGATAGTTTACTCTCACGTGTCTTTTTCTTTCTCTTTCTTTGAGCCTTTGGCAAGAGCGAGGGAACAATCCCTGATCACCCATAACAGTCTATGGCTCACGTGATTATGCAAATGAGAAAACCCCATTGGTTTCCAGGTGGTCCAATCAAATCTGACGCGGACAATCTTCGTTTTAACCGTTGTTTCTGAATGGTTCGAGACAGAAATTCACTTAACTATAGAAAATTTGTTACGTTATAACATGGGATTTCAACTAGAAGGATAGATTGGTTTACTTACCAATCATCAACATGTGCTGACATATTCATCGTCAGAAAATTCTCACATCCCTGTTTAAATCATGGACCTGAAGTCCGGTGGTTTAATTGGCTAATTCAAATCGGATGCCGGTAAAAAACGAACGCCAATTTGCGAACGTTACGGGTATTACGTTCGCCCTTGGTTACACTCGCGAATACAAGATAACTAAGTGACCGGTTAAAGAAGGTTTACCATGTAAAATCTACTCGGGTCAGGATCGCTCGATGCCAATGATTCAGGCCCCCTCTACTAAATCTAAAAGCGATCAAAAATTTCAAAACGGTACTCGTTGTACACTGTAATGAACATATATTTCCATTACTATTTTATTGTTATGATATCGTAGAGTCTATACGAGACATTTGTTAATTCCATACATTTTTCTTACTTCAGAAACTGACGAGCCTTCTCTGGATTGTGGTGAAATCTGTAGCTATGAGGTGAAAGTTGAAGAGAAGAGGAAATACTATCCGTATATCCGGAAAACCGTCAAATGTGGTTCAATAATGAAACGTATGGCACTTAATCCAGCAACTCCAGAGATACCACCAAAGAAAATCCCAGCAGAATTATATGATGAGTTTACCCAAAATGGGGAGCTTCCTAATAAAAATTATTGGTATATTAATGACAAGAAAAAGATTTCACGTGTCAATAGGCAGAAACATTTTACAAAGGACGCAATTGAACAACTAATAAAAAACGACAAGGCAGGGAAAATAATTGGGACGTATGACGTACTGGAACCTAAAAAGTCAATAACCGCATATAAAAATGAAATAAGTAACAATCGTGGAGTTGTGATTGGATCCCAATCACCCTGGCTTGAAGCATTGGCCTTATCTGCTGGTGCAAAACACATGACAACACTTGAATATAACAATAATCCGTTCCTTCATCCTAACATAACCAAAATCCACCCATATGATATGGCAAAAATATACGCAAATAGTAGTTTTCAAGAGTTCGATTTTGCATTATCGTATTCATCAATTGAACATTCTGGATTAGGTCGCTATGGAGACCCTCTGAATCCATATGGAGATCTTGAAGCAGTTGCGCAAGTTTGGTGCATGCTCAAACCAGGGGGATTATTTATTCTTGGACTTCCAGAGACACATAATGAGACATCTTATTTGCAGTTTAATGCTATGAGGAGGTATGGTCATAGTAGACTCAAACATTTAACTGCAAATTTTGAGGTTATTGATCGTTTTATTGGATACGAACGATATGATCTTCAGGGTATTTGGGTTTTAAGAAAATCACAATGAACCCCAGTATATGATAATTAAAGTACAACATCCCATGCTTCGTATGTGATGTACAGAGTGTCAAATGAGTCTCGTTTTAATAGTATTCAGTTTTGAACAAAATACTCAATCGACCGGGCGCCGGTCGATGAATTGGAGCAAATGTGACCCAGGTATTAGTGAAAAACACATATACAGCGGGGTATAAAAGCATGTCACATCATAGAATTAGAGTGCCTTTAACCAATGCACAATAAATGCACAATAAATCTTCAAAAGTTTCTTCTAGATATTTCTAGAGTATTGTGATCATGTTGTTCAAACCCATGATAAACAATACACGATTTCTGACAAAGAAGTGGATCACCCTTCGAGTTGCCTAAAAACATATCCTTGGGTTGATTCAAAATAACTATGAAATCAATGTGATCACAGTCTGCACCTTTATAATATTTAAGAATTTTACACGTGTTTATGTATCTTTATTGCCTCCTAAAATTGGAGAGTACATACTTTTAATGTATTACAATGATAATAAATAACAAAAATATAACATCTTTTATACTATATACAAGGACGTTTGAATATAATAATGCGATCAGATCATCTCAGTCAGCTTATAATATTGATGTGCTACCGCTGCCTCAACATTACACCTTATCTAGTTCTAATAGTGTTTTACTTTTCTCTATAAATAACCAACAACTTTGTTCTGGGCTAAAAGACGATTTATTAATTAAATAATTATAATATAAATGCAAACACAATTAATACGAAGATAAACACAATAAAATTAAAAACTATTGACCGCCCCCTGTGTTGTATTCCTTAAATAAATTAAGGGTGGGAGGGTTGGCTGATTTTTAAAATTGCACAACGCGCATGACGGAAACATTTACAGTACATGTGCACAGGTAAGTAAGTACATTGAATTTCACAGGTAAGTATAGATGTCATGCTAGGATGAAAACTATCCAATCGATCAAAATAAACTTCAATTTATGAATATAAATACACACATATGACAAAAGTTATGTTCATACTACCAGTATTTACAATTATTGGGTTTATTTGCAGAGTATCATCCTATCGTAACTAGTGTACATTGTATAAATCGTCTTTGATATCGTTACGTAACTATCCATCTTTAATAGTTTATCTTTCCCAAAAATGGTTGCTAATTTGATCTCATTTGAGCAGTTTTTGGGAGTACTATTTGCGTTTAACTCTCTTTGGATTATATCTCTCTCTTGTGAATGTGCGTCACAATTAAGAATTAGATGTTCTAGTGTTTCGGTCTCAGACTTACAAGCATTGCATAAACTTCTACTGTATTTGTCAAATAGCGTTACCCAATTCGATGTGATTGCATTCAGATTTCCCTCTCCCGTGAGGAGTAGCATCATTGTTTTGCAAATCTGTCACTAGTTGGCTATTATGACATGCGATTTCCCACCATAAGTTGGGCTTTTGAAAATCCACAACACTCTTGTATAAATGAATGCTTGTGTACATCATACATTGCAATTTCCACCTCCAGAGTGCTTTGTCATGCATTATTGATCGAATGTTCCTTTTCCATACTTTTTGGATGGTATAATTCCAGTGTCTATGCATGGTATCGTATATTTGGTTTTGGATTCCAAGATTCTCGGCAACTTTCAAACAATTTCCTATCGGCGATATGCTAGATAAGGCACGAGACCTGTGGCATATTATTCGTGTTATATACTGGTATATGTCATTTATGGGCAGTGATTTGATTTACAACTCTATAATTATAATGGCACTATATAGAATGACTGATCCTTTGACCCCATCCCTAGATTTTTCAAAATAAAACTGAACACCCTTGGCAAAGCTGGCTATGGGCCCGGGGGTTATTCTATTTATCATACAGCCTAGTCTGTGATTAGGGCACCAACACACATATCGTTGTTCACGTGTAACTGATAAATGAAGTATAATGAGAGTATCTCCTCCCTTTAAAACAAGGTTGCGTCGCTAATTTAGTCCCTCCTAGTTTAAGCTAGCTACACTAGCTACATTATAAAACATGATGAAAACTCCCAGGGATCAAAGATGACCGTAACTCCAATGAAAATATATAAGGGTGACCGTCATCGCTGATTAGTTGCATGATGGAAACAAAATGGTGAATTTTCTTTTTTAAATAATATATTAATATCTGGCTAACGAGGTGTGGTATTCAATAAGTTAATAGTAGAAATTCGGACAAACGAAAGTGGAAAGCAAGAGAGATAATTTTGAGGTCTGAGCTCTGGGGTTTTCCCGCCACTTAGTTATCAAATACTTTAATTGGTACAAAGAAAATAATCGAAAAACCAACACAACTTTATGGATTGAAAACAATAAATGAACTTTATTTTTGCAATGTACATGTTTATAAATAAGGATAAATTATCAAATGTGTTTAATTTACAACTGACATAATTATTTATAAAGATTACAAACGTCTTAAATATTCTGTCGTCAAGGACTTAGTCTTGTTGTGCAGAGACATCTTTTGACTAGTTTGAGTATTGATTAAAACATGATTTAGCTATTTTAAGATAAGCATTTTGTTAGCACTCCAGGACGCTTAGCTTCAGTTCTATACTCCACGTGTTATAAATAGGCTCATGCAAATAATATTATATACACTACTTTACAGCCAATCGGAGAAAAACAGAATTACTGAAGTCCTTAGGATGGAAATAGGTAATTCAGTCTTCCTCCCTGACTGCTCAACATAATTGACCTGCTATTGTAATATACATTATGTCCTGGCAGCCGTAACTCTTCCACTGTCATGTATTACACAATCTACATTTGGCAATTTCCTAGTATTTTGCTAACTTTCCCACGTGCGTTATTTCTCGATAGAAACAGTTTACGCCTGTACATTTAAATATATCTATCATAAAGTTAATATGCGGAAATTTAAATAAACTCAAATAACATAAATAAAATACAGTAAGGATCCTGTAAAGTAAACAATAGATTGAACTGGACGAATGGACCTAAACATGTAGATTGATTAATGAACACTACGGAAACATAATACCAGGGACCCCGGGATATCACTTAGACATTAAACACTTTAAATAAAAAGGAGAGCGCCGATGCACCGCGGCCGAAGACTCACGGAAAGGACCGAAGATTTTTCAAGTAACCAATCAGATTCCTTAGCGGATCTTCGGCCATCTTCGATTGCGGTCCAAAACTATAAGATTGCCAATGTTTATGTCACGAAGATGGCCGATGATTGCCGAAGTTACTCTAACGAGCATATCAAATTATTGAAGGGTAATGGTAAGATCTTCGGTAGCGGTCCATCAACTGCTACCCTTTCAAAATACTAACATTGCGCTATTGTCCTTGTGCATGTTGTCTTAATTGTCTATATCTGTGAGTTGATATTTTCTGCAAATCATATTGTATGTTTTTGTGTCAAAAGCATCTAACTTTGTTATTATGTTAAATGTAACTGGCAGTGATGTAATTGTGAAATGGTTTAATTTGCACTTTAGTTTCATTGGGAGGTAATCCAGATACTGACGCCCTCTTTATACACTTCCTTAAATCGCATCCGTGTTTTAGTCCCCTTTACATAGGCACAACTTCCAACGAAATCTAATACGCTCTTACAGACTGAAAATAAAATTTTGAAAATTACGTTCTACCATGTTTTCATATAGTTAATATTACTTTACTATTTCTGTCTTTAAGCTTAATTTAACTTTCCCACGTAAATATAATTTAACACTTATTCTGATCACCTGATGATCGATTTTTATAATTCCACTTGAATGTTTGTTAAGTTACGTTACATGTTTTCCTTTTTTTCCAAAATGTAACCGTTCTTATGTTCAAATGCTTAATAAACAATCTTGTTAACATTATAATATTGTGATAATCGTCACTTAAATAGAACAACAGTTAAATCATCTTATCGATGTAACAAACCATTTGGGCACACTTCTGCCTAATGGAACCACCCTGGGTCCTTGCGGGTCTTTGCGATGACATCTCTTATATGTGCCCTTGTCTTCGAGATTGGCTGGCCGCCTCCATAACTCGGGGGAACAGAGGCAGACTGTACAGAACAAAGGTCAAAGGGTCAAGGTTAGTGGATGTCAAAAGTATTTCAACAAAGGAGTGGTATCGATATGGAGAACTGAATTAACCAATGTTTTTCTCTTAAACCAATCATTGAAAACATTCTGTAAAAAAACACGGTATTTTATGTAATGTTGATTGATTGGCAACAATTTAATGCGAAAATTATTTAGAACTATTTTATATAACTGTTATTGTTAACATTTTTTGATTTTTTCGTGCAATTGTTTTTGCTCCTTTCTACCAATTCCCGAGAATGAAATAAAATGTCTTTCCGAACCTTAGCTTGTTGGAACAAAATAGCATATACAACATGTTTTAGACCTCTCAATATTATAGTTATACAAAGGAGTTTTTGGTTGATTTTAAAAAAGTATAAAAAATCAAGATGAATCTTTTATTTCATTAACAAGATACATTTTTAAAATCAACCAAAATTTCCTTTGTGCAATTACAATATTGAGAGACTTAAACATGTTGTGTGTTTGTCGTTTTGTTCCAATGAGGTTCGGATAGATGTTTCATTTCACTCTGGAAACATGATACCAAGAACAAAACAAGTGTTTGATGTTTTCTTAAACAATATAAAAAAGTATATATTTATGTTTCAAATTATATTGTTACCATTCAAAAGATGACCATTAAATTGACGTGTTAAATTTTTAGATTTTTTATGACTGGTTTAAGAGAAACGTGTGTTCAAAAAGTTATCCATATCGATACCTATCCTTTGCATTCGATAAGGTCATACGTTTCCAAATCAAAAACTGCAAAAGAATAAGAAGATTGCTCAAAAATATAGCACCCGACAACGTCATAAAAATCAGTAATCAAAAGATGTAAAAGAAAGGAAAGATCAAATATATGAAAGTATTAAAGATGCAAAAGAATAAATATTCTTAAAGCACTCGACAAGGTCAAGGTCATAATATTCCAATCAAAAACTAGAAAAGAATATAGAGTCTATGAAAGCAAAAATAAGACTTCAGTTTATGAAAATGATATGTATAATATACATGCATTGATTTTAAGTTCATTCAGGGCATAAGTGTAGTAGGATCACCATACAAATATGAAGTTACAATCGCCTTAATTATTTGAATAATTGGGAAATTTACTTTCACACCCCCCCCCAACCCCCTCCCCCTATAAGTCTATCAAACCGGAAGGATGTTCCCATTTGACCACGTTTCAGCGCCTGTTTATCTTTATTTATTGTAAATAATAAATTCCTCAGTCATAAATTTCTGATTTCTTGCAAATAAGAAAATAAAAAATCAAGCATAAACAAGCGTTGACATGCTATTTGAGGAGAACTTCCGTTTGCAAGACTTATGTGGAGAATAGTGTAATTTTCCTAGGTCTTTCACATACCCTTGCACTCCTGCGAGGCCTGGATACCTCAGAATCCCTGCTTGTACTTTTAAAGTTTGCAGTCCTGTACAACGACGGGATTCTGAAACAAGAGTTATGCATTGGGAGATTGACAATTAGATTTACGAGGTGTGATCAATAAGCAATTGACGCTTTGATCACCCCTCGTACTTAATATTGAAGAGTACCCTTTCAATAAATATTCTCTTTCACTATAAACATACAGTTTGCTAATTTGATAATATTGTTCACAATTCGGGTTTATTAAAAACCTCATTAATAGAATTTCATCTTACTAATCTGAAATCCACATTTATTTTTATCTTTCGTGTTAATACAAACTGTTGGCCTGATTCACGATAATGTATTACAATATTTTGGATTGTGTTTTGCTAATCTTATTTTCAAGACCGTGTAAGTGGCATAATGGGATAAAAAGCATTAGACTACACGTGAATGTAATTAATTGTGGTCCATCTCATAGAACATTTTCATAAATGGCCGATTGAGTGTTTTGTTCAATCAATATTGTATTCAATTTTGAACAAAATACTCGGCCGGTCGCCGTAGTGAAAATCGGAGCAAATGTGACCAAGGCATAAATATAGGCCTGATGCCTCAATTCCATGGATGTATTGTTAAAAGATGAACACGCCTTTATGTCTGTCCACCTCCATTTAATCTCACCATACATTATACAGCTACCGGATTACGCTGCCACGAGTTATTACTTCATGCATGCAAGGCGCTACCTTGGTTATACTTACGCTGGTGTCTTTTTCGAGCTTACAAATACAATTGGTGTTCTCGTGACTGGAGATACAATGAAAGGTTTCACTACTGCCTTTGGACGAATGGGAGTGTTCTCCTTGACTATGATATATTTTACTGGTTCTGGAGTTGGTTCAACAATTTCCTGAACAGGAGCTGTGTGCTCAATGAAATCGGGATAATATGGCGGTGTATCTCTAGGTGGCCGCTTGGAGGCGTTTTGTGCTGCAGACGACATTGGAACATAAGTCACTGGTCTATCATTCCACTGGAATTCTGCATCGTCTGCAGTTCGCCTTGTCTAAAATTCAAACGACCCCGTTAAGCCTTGTTCTTTTAGACCTATCATGCACTATTGTGTTAATGGCTGTTGGTTGGTCGCTGGACTACGTAGCGTTGTTGTGTTAGTTCTAATTTTAGCATGAAGGCCTTTTCATGCATGATAATCCCCCTTTGGTGCCCTTTATGGCGTCTGGATGTTGATGAAAAGGCGTGTGAAGAAGCGATGATTTTCTTCCATGTTTCCTTACCTTTGTCATATTGAATTATTTCAAAGTTGCAATTGTTATACAATTCCCAAGTGCTCCTCTGTTGACATAAAATATCATTGTACACGCATCTCCATTGACTCTTTTGTGGGTTATGAGACTGAATTTGCCCCATATCATTTAAGAGTGAATCATGCATTGTCCAGTGAACGCTCACAATTTGATGATAATATTTGCACTGAAAAGGACAAGCATGTACAAACCAAATGAGAACCTAATCCGAAATTAACTCTACATATTTCAAACTACCTTTGATTACCGTAATGTTATAATGGTCCACTTCCTGTTCCTTTGCCTTGCTGAAAAACCATGAACATGCGCACCGTGCAAAAGCAAAAAGCAGAGCTAGGCTCAATTTAGATCAACTCTACAGAAGAGTCTCTAAATTACAAACAAGAACACACGAGTATACCTCTCAGCGACCTCGTTGTATTTCTTATCGACCATATAGTCAACTTCATCAATTGGAGCTCGCATGTCATATGGTATAAAGCGGTCCAGGAGAGTTTTCTGAACGCTGTTACTGTATACAACATCTTTCATACGATCTTTAAGGTTCGAACATGTGGTGGAATAACCGTCCCAATCAGGAGTTCGGTACAATTCAGCCCTGTCCTACAATCACAAGGCGCATGCGTAAGAACGGTATCAGGGTGAGGGAGAAATGATATCACTCATGTCAATGTTGGCATTCTACACTTCACGTTCAAAGACAACACGAATTTATTTGACAAACATGTCAATCAAATTTTGAAAAAGTCACACAAATAGCATGACATCACAAGATAAATTTTGAAATTCGACACATAATTCCCTCCCCATGGCCGTCTAGATTGTGCCAAAGCCCCCAAGATGCGTATAAGTTGCATGTTGTGACTGTAGGATTTTTGTATGGCTTTTCATATAGCATCTGGTGTTATCTTTGTTAAGTGTGATGTATCATGCCATGGGTTTTGGTATCGATGTAAGACCAGTGCCCTTTTGTTAGTAGGTTGTCCTTATAGATTATTAGTTCAGCATTTTGTTAGACCTGGGCATGCTTCATAAATAAATCAAATGAAAATAAAATTTTAAAAAATACACATTAAGCGCATGGACTACTTCCGTTTAAATACATATATAGATGTCATATGAGTAATAGTGTAGAAATAGAACGAATCTAATCAGGTGTTCCATTGTCACTAGGATGGAGTTTAAAGAACAAAATTCACTAAAAAATATTTTGGGTTTGACCATAAATAATGCAACAAATCAATACGTCTGTCCAATGAAGTTTGCCGATGCAACAACAAAACAAGCTGGGAAATATCAAAAAGATCCATGATGTCATAGATTGTAGATTACAATGTTTAAGATTTGTAATATTTGTTTGAAATCACTACAATCTACAATTTATCATCATGAATCTGGCCAATGTCGCTCTGTATCATGGCAAAGTTATTGGACAAGGCGGTTTCCAAATTTAAAATAACATCATCAAGAAATACCTGAAAACGTTTCGGTGGTCAATCATTTGAATATTACTGATAAACAAAATACGGTTGAAGATGTTCTTACCCCGGTATAAAGGGGCTGATAGCGTGGTCCCCTACTTGTAGCAATGCTTGCTGGCCTAGGTGGCACTGCTGATCCATACCTTGACACACCGGCCCCTAAACCCGCCGATTTCTGTAAGTATGAAGAACAAATGGCAAAAATATCTCATTCAAACCGATTGATATTATCAGTACAATCACCCATTGGTTACTGAGTTAACTAGTTTTAGTGTCAATATTAAAACATAAATTGACATCTACTTGGGCTGATGAATTTAAGGTTTGAATTCCCTGTTTACTCAGGATATCTTACATCGTCAGTCTAGTGGAAAAACAAAACAAAACGAAACAAAATAATCAATTTAGTGAAATGCTGTCATAGGATTTATTTAAGAAAAAATAAACAATAATTCGATTATAGTCCTGGGAATTGATTAAATGACAAGACAAACCTTTGCAGTTATAGCAGAGTACTTGATGGGTCTCCTCTCAAAATCATCCTGAAATTATATATCAATTTAGAACAATGTCTATGATATATTACTGTAGATATAGAATTTGCATAACACATCGTCTAGATATATATCTTATTGTATATAGTATGTAAGACGTCGTCCAGATATATATCTAAGTGTTGTATGTTGATGAACTTAAATAAGTCATCATTTACGTTTAAAAGTCACCAAAAAGACATCACTTTATATCCAAGTCACAAATGAAAGATGCTGAAATGGATAAAAAAATTCCATGCATGTTGAATGATATAATCTACTTTCACACCTAAATCTATGATCTACATTAACGCATAGTCGATGCTGTTTCAAAAATGTCAAAACGTTCATTTTTGAACTCGTTATCATCTTAATGATGAATCCTTCTCTGAGTTTGAAACAGCAAAGTGAGATACATCTGAAAGCATTAACATGTTAACAGCCCGTCGATTGTCATACTACCTCTAAGTCACTGAAAGCTTGAAGTATTCGGTTGGAAACAGACGTCCTGGGAGCCCCTAGCATGAGGTCCGTAGAAGGTAGAACTGCCTACAACAACAATACCGTATCCGATTATACAGCTAGGGTGAAATACTGCAGATAAATTGTACCAAACGTACGCCTTTCCACCATGATATAGACCTCTTTGACTTGCTATACCTTTGTTTAGGTTCTCCATATGTTTTTACACTTGGTGTCAGCGTTGTGCCATTTGGGATTGGTTTATCTACACTATCCCTCTCCCTACTTGAAGCGTTACCTAAAAGCGTGGTTGCATTTAGTGGCATGTCTACATGCAGAATTGATTAAGTGGTAGGAACAATATGGTTGATTTAGACATGTCATTGTAATATTGTAGGAAGTAAATGTTGTTTGGGTATGTCGCAAATGGCATATGGGTTCAGGTACATCACACCTTATGTCAGTGTGTGAATCTATTATATGAGTTACAGCACAATGATGATGGGGTCTTACAACGATATTTCTACTTTTAGATAGTTGCATATTTTAGAAAAAAATTATAATATTTATTAACTATTTCACTTCCTTTATCATAATTGTGATGGCTTTACAAAACGATTTAGACTTTACTATTTTGTTCTTATAGACATTTAACAAACTTATTCTTACTGAATACGGTGTAACAAATTTGATATTCTAGTAACACGATGCCATGCGTTGAAGGCCATGACTATTATTGTGTTGAAGGTGCAAATGATGGCTTTACTGGTGTGGTAAATGATAATGAATTTAGTGTGAAACGTATTTGATTATGCTGGAACTCAAAATGGGAAAAGTTCAACAAATAGCAATGAAAAATAATCAAATTGATAATATGATAAAATCTTGTGGTAACTATAATGTGAAGGACAATATAATGATGATAGTGTCATGTATTTCTCAATAGTGAGATTGATAGTAATGACATATGTAATAGTCAATAATGTTACAATGATAATAGAACTAATGGTGATAATAGTGTGGCAAATAGTGATAATAATTATGATGACAGTGGAACCAATGTGGTGAGGAAAGTGAAACTGATTACAAAGAAATTAACTTAGAAAAAATGGTTTGAATTGTGAATGGATTATTGAAGCGATATCCAGGATCCAAGATCATTTTGTATTATATATGTCAAAGTAAGTTTTGACATTGTGATTACTTTATTTATAACATGTACCTCATTCAGTGGAAAGCTAATGCGCTCTACATGACTACATTCTCCATAACAATTATATTTTTCCATGCCTGGGAGGCCCATTTCCCCTGGCGATCGCGATGTCCTTCTCTGATTTCAGTTTTTTGCCAATTCAACCACCCAGGTGAAATTCAGATGTGAGTGCACCAGGGGAAATGGGCCTCGATAAATATGCATGCCTATGTGAGATTTAGGCAAATACATTATCCCTTCCAATAGACAATTACTCTTTGGAGAGACTCATTTTGAGTATATAAGTTGAGTAAAAGATACCCATATGGCGCTTGGTTTAAAAAGTACCCTCAAAACGAGATATAAAAGGCCCCAAAACATAAGGATAGTCTACTTCAGTTGCCACTTTTGTTAGGTACTCATAGTATTTCATATACTAGTATTCGATATACGTTAGCTGAAGAGAAATCGCGAAGTACATATGGAACCCATCTCCCAACAATAAGTAAGAATAACGGGACCTTGGTAAGATTTCCATTAATATAAGTTATGTAGTATTGGTTGAGGTATGGGCGACAATTGGAAGAAATTTGGATGCTTTCTAAAGAAGCAAACAAATAAGCGAGGAAAGAATGTCGAGCACGTATACAACCTTAAACCTGACAAAAAACCTTTGGTGAAATCAAAAGTACCTAATAAAATGGCCTAATAGCTGAAATTCCCATCCCAATTAACCTTAATATGCTAAATAAATCATCATTTGTTACTTGCACAATCAATAAGCTTGGATATAAACATTATTTTTAAATGCAATTACCATAGCTTAAAAAAATAAAATGTTAATTCATTTCCTTTTAATCAAATCTAAAAAGGAGTGAGTCTTTATTCCAGTGTGAAACTTGACATACTTTACTGCTAAATAAGAGAGGAACCTTTTCAAGCTTTGGTATTTTCCAAAGGGTGTCGACTTTTGGCAATCAACCGAAGATACGTCAAGAAAAGCCGGAGATTGCCGAAGATTGACGAAGCTTTTCTTTGCAAACGAAGTTGGCCGAGGGAACCACGAATGTGAAGAGGACGTCTCTAATTGGTCAAAAATAGAGGCTCGGCATTCTCCATCAGATTGAATCGGCAAAATTCGGTTGTAAGGCTTACCTTCGGTTGTATGACTTACCTTCGGCTGCATGGCCCAACCTCGATTGATTGGAAAAGATGCTGTCCCATTTTCCAAAAAGGTGTATACCAAAGTATAATGATTGTGCGAGTAACAAATTATAATAACTTAAAACATGTTTAGGGTTTAGATGAGAAACACAGACATTGGCCTTTTAAAACAAATGTGCACATATTTTGTGTCAATACCTTTTTAAATGTATCATTTAAGGTTGCAATTGATCAATCTACCTGGGTACTAGGAGCTATGTAAGATGTATCCACAAAAGTTGGGATATCTATTACGGTTTTTGGTTCCCGCTTGGGGACAGGAGCTGGTGTTTTGCTTAGATAAAGGGCCTGGCGCCTGGCTGCCGGCATGTACACGTGGTTTCTTTGGGTGACCTTTGTTGGCACCGAGAGATCCTGTGGGTGAAGAATATATGATTAATAATCATTGACGATGAAGAAACGAATTCTCCATCCTCGTTTTCCTCATCCTACGTATTAATATACACCATTGTGGATCTGGAAATACTTCCCATGACAAATTAAATGAAAAGAGGGACACGTCGTTGTCTATCTAGAATCAAAATATCAAGTCAAAACAACAATCATACAATCAGTACAGAAAAATATGATGAACAGTTTAGACCCAAGGAAGGCCTAAAAAGCACAGTTGATGTTATCAAGTTTGACAAGTTTATTTGAATTGTTTGATCATAGAGCAATGATGAAAGGAGTACAATACCTCCGTCAACTTGAAGGGATGTTTGGAGGTTTAACACATCTGTAATTATTATTATTAAACATAAGGCACGTGTAATAACATTGTTTCATAGGTTTAGCGAACATCTGACATCACTGTTCCACAACTAGTTACTTTGACGGGACGTCAAAGTAAATGTAACAAAATGGATGAACTTCCTGGATACAAGCTTTTTGTTTTCTTGATTTAAACTTACGTCGTGTTGTCGTCAAAGTAATATACATTGGTAATATAACGGACTTTCGTCAATGTAACAAAAGCGAGGGGCTAAATATATGAATTGCAACTCCATTTACAAAATAAATTCCAAATTGAAGAAACTTATTAAAACTAGACTATATTTTATAGCTTTGTGCCAAATGATAATCTGCAACTTGACTTAAAATTAGGTTTAAATCAAGAAAACAAAAAAACTAGTAACCAGGTTCATCCGTTTTGTTATATTGGCGTTCCGTCAAAGTAACTAGTTGTGGAACAGTGTAACATGAGGAAACAATGTATACATGTGATACAAGATTGAATGGCACATCATATTTAAAGATCAAAGCACATTCACACAACAATCAAAAGATAAAGAGAAATGAAATAAAAGATAGAGTTCGAAGAATAAAGAGATGAATGAATTGAAAAGAATATTTGTCCTTGCCAAGATATCACACTGGTGCATGGATGAAGTGTTATTTTCTCCAGCTACTCTTGTCTGCTAACTACAACCAGGGCCACGCGTATGACATCTTTGGCGGAAAAACAAATTTAGGAAGAAAGAATAGAGGGTTACTAAAGTCAGGTGGATAATATATGCTACAACATAAGATAAAATAAAAATAAAGGTATATCAAATCCTATAAAAGAATGTGCTTGGTGTGTGACATGTGTGCAATAAATGGTGCTCGGTTATGGTTACTTTTAGAGAGTATACCCTGCTTATATTTCTTAAAGTATCTAATTATAGCATGTACAGTCCACCGACTCATCACCGAACGCCATGCTATATCCACCAACGCAAATAAAGTCCAATTTGGTTCAGCTATGGTAACTGGGTTACTTCTACGGGCAGGTTGAACGTCATCAGATACAGAGATAGAGACGAGGAGTCAACAAGGTAATCAACCACGCATGCGTGGAAACACTCACTCCAAATATGGTAAATGGTAACATCCATATCCACGCAGGTTTAAATCCAACCACTCGGGTTCAATGTTTACCTTGTCGTCATAGATATCATCAACATCGGAGGCTGATCCCAACAGCATGGACCTTGGGCGTCGCAAATCTGGCTGATGCAGGTTCATTTCCGCATCAATGATTCGTCTTTGAGTCGTGAAGAAGCTTTCCCTTTTCGTTTCATCGGAAGGTCCAGTGATTACCATGTAATCCCCGGGTTCAAGGTGATCAAATGCTTTCGGATCAATATCATCCTTAGACCCACCGACGACGTAAATGTTTCGGGCTGCCTCTCCAATATCGTCCTCCTCTTCCACTGGCGGTGGTAGAGGCCTCTTTGGACGCCTTGTTTCCTCTATATCTTCGTCAAGGTCTTCAAAGAAGTTACGGCTGCATCTGGTTGTATCATCCAGCTGGCGTCTAAGTTGAGCAACTCTATCGACAATTGCATCCAACTGTTTATCCTCGCGCCTTGGGCGTGTTTCTTTGGGTACATACACATCATCGTTACTTGATCTTTCTTTAAAAGGGACCCTCGCCTTTGGCACCCAGTTGTTACGCATGGTTTGCGTTTCTATGCCAGCTCTTATCGACATTGGGACATCATCAAACCCAGCGTTTTTACCAAGATACCTCATCTGAAGATGCGCAACCTTTAGGGGATCAACTCTAAGGGAACTGTCCTTCACTCTATTCCTAACCTCTTTACGTTTTACCCTCGCAGGTTCTTCTCCTTTTGCTTCTCGACGCTTTTTCTGGTGGAGGAAACGCCTGAATCCAACTTTATCTTTGATTTCAGAATCAATTTTTACATTCTCCATTTCCATCCTTTGCTATTTATACAAACAGAGAGTGCAGCTAATTATTAGGGTAATAAATGGACCAACATTTCCTGCGATTGGGAGCTATTTCTCGAAGTGAAGATTCATAATTAAAATCAGATGATTTTAACCTAAAAAGCTGAATATGAAAGCAGAAAACACAGCAAGAAATATGAGACTACTTTCAGACTTGACAACAACGTATTCTGGGATCATGATATATAAAATACATCAAACCAGACCTACAATAACATCGCTCTCAAAGACTGATTATCAAAATGTACATCTTAACAAGGTACAGAAGACATTAGATCTTTATAGTCTTGCATCGTCACTACCTCCCCACTATCATATATTCTTCTTCTTAGTCTTATATTTTTGCACCTAATATGATTATTATCGATGATCTGCATCAGTTCAGTAATAAACAAGAATTAAAATATCTGATCGCCCATGTTATCAGTGCAGTGAATAAAAAAAAAATTATACGCTCTGTCACATATCTATTGATGGAAATATGGCAGCACTGTGTCAGTCATTATGGGACCGTGTGTAGAAGATGTGTGTGTTAGTGGGGGTACATAATGACCTGATGCAAGACTTTTAGATCATTAAATCAACTATCTGTGCTTTAGCAAAATCGTTCTCAAAGTGCCAAAACTTCCAAGACACTTTAACAAAATGTGAAAGTTTGTTTGGTGAGACATATCAGTACTTTGATGATAAGATAGATTTCTTTGCAACTTACCAAACTATCTGTAATTGAGTCCAGGAGACCCCTATCGCTGCGTCTAGATCTATTGTAAAGGGCATCTGTGTCGTCCAAAGTGGCATTACCAAGTCGTTGTGCGCGTTTCATTTTCGAAATGCTGTCATCTAATTCAGCCTCTGAAGATTTGAGAAACACGTTGAATTGGGTAATGTGAATTATCACATGGTGTCAGAAGCACGTGGGATTCGAACATGGTGTTATTCATATATAGTGTTTTACAGGGTGACCCAAAAATGCAACCTTCCATTTCTTCAATATTTTTCTCAAATGGAGGTTAATTGCTCTGAAATTTGGCACACAAGGACTTCATTCAATGTAGGATCTAATGTAGGATAATCTAATGTAGGATCTCAGAGTAATTTACCTCCATTTAAGAAAAATATTGAAGAAATTGAGGGTTGCATTTTTTGGGGTCACCCTGTATATACATGTAGAGTGTATAATTGAGGTATGAATATTTTATACTCATGTTTCTTGTAAATAATCTCTTTAATTATCTTAAAATTAATATAAATACTGTGGAATAACACAGACAGATGGCAGTGATTATATATCTATTCGTTTCTCAAGTGAAAATACTGTATGTTGCATTTTATCCAACATCTCAAATCGTTTTTCAGACCTCCAATTTGTTAGGAACATATCAGTATGTTTATTAAAGGGATTGCTTCGAATAATTATACAGCCACGCATATTTGATATATATGGGCATATGTGTGTCAGAAATAGTTCTAATCTAATTAGCTTATCGTCCCGCTTGAGTTATCAGTGTATAGCTAATTAAATTAGATAACAACGCTATATATATAAAATACATAAACTAACGTATATTCATGTGAATATAATGATCTATTGATCTTGAATGAAAATCGAACATTACTGTGTGAATGTGTTGAAAGACATGTTCAGGCTGTTTAGGATACCATGAATATTTTCATTAAGACATCGAATGTGGCTTTAAACCATGATACACTGCGCCGTATCAGATATGATTAATGGATCGCTGTTACGTAACGCAAAAGAAGCTGTCATTTGTCTATGTAGTCTTGCTTAAAAGACCCTGTACTCCCCCCCCCCCCTTATCCTTCTCTCTCTCTGTATATTGCCAGGTAAAGAGAGTGAAGGTGACGGGGGGTGGATACAGTCTTTGAGCAAGACTATTTTCTATGATTTACTCGTGACTTTATTCTCTCTTGGACAGTAGATGCGTGTGTGATATCCATTCGTGAATAAAAATTGCTGAAAACCATTGGATATGATTTATATTCCCTTACCATAGTCAATGACCTCGTACTTTAATGCTCACGGTACTCATGATACCACGTAAACCTGCTCATAAATCATAGGATATCATTTATATCTCCTTACCATAGTCAATGACCTCGCGCCTTGCTCGCGGTACTGATGATACCACGTAAACCTGCTCATAAATCATAGGATATCATTTATATCTCCTTACCATAGTCAATGACCTCGCGCCTTGCTCGCGGTACTGATGATACCACATACATGTCTTGGTCGTATTCAGGGAGGAAGTCAACGTATGGGGAATTCTTTGTTGTATAGACACTGCGTGAGGTACTGTTCTTTAGAATGGATTGACCCTGTTCTCCTCTGCTTCGGCTAGGAATGACTGGGGCCTGCAAGATTAAGTGTTTTCATTAGATATTGGTTTGGGCTCAATGAAGATTAACTCCCAGCCCTCTTTCATGATCTATTTTGACTGGCATGGAACAATCTGGTAATTATATTACCATAATGTTCATCTCCAGAACTAGGTTATTAGTCGGGAGATGAACATTTAGGTAAAATTATTGGAAGGATTCTTGGCTGCCAATCCTTCTTGGTTTGGACAAGTGAATAATTTGCGAACCCAAATAGTAAATCAAGTTTAGCCTAAACATCTCTATATTTAAATATTGTTAGGCATTGAGCGTCTGCTGGGATCCAACTTACGGTTATATAAATACACGTATCTAACCATTGCTCTCTGTCTATGAAAAGACACTGCTCAAGACTTTATCAGTATAACATATGTGTACCCCTGTACAAACAACACATGGATTAGTGAAAACTCCACAATATCAATACAGTACAGGGTGTCCCATAAGTGTCGATAATAATAATCTAAAAATTAACACCATTTCTTATTGAACACCCCATACAAGTTCACTGTAAATAAAAAATGTTCATCAACACGTTTTAGGGCAGAAGTTGTTAAAGTTAAACAAGTAAAATTAGTATACCATGATTGAGCATAACCCATGGTGCAATGCTTTTGAGTGCAGTACACACCTAATACCCGGACCTAATATTTCGATGGTAGTCTCTCAAAATGCAAATGCAAGGTAGCTGCTAGTCCATTTTTCTAACCATGATGCACCAACATCCAGATGTTTTATATCAGATAGTACACCATATACACTCCCCTAAAACAGTTTGGAAACACCCAACTTCTTAATGTAGGAACGTCGCAAAAACTGTTTACAATTGGCCATTTGAAAAAGGATTATTACTTTGATTGTGGAGAAACGTCAAATGCCCAACACGAATAGGCTTCTAACAGGCTGTCTAATGGAAAGATTGGCAATCTTTTGAAGGGGAGTGTAAGGCAGGAAGATTGTTCCCTGGCCGAAGGATGCAAACAGGCGGTCGTTACATATTAATGAATGAATGAATAAAAAGTATCTTTAAGGTCATTAAAAGTTTACAACGTAGTGGTTTGATCGATTGAAGATTCGTTTTTAGGAATTTAGTCGAAAATGAACTTCTTTCTTATATTGTATGAAGCAATATCAAAAATAGTCTAAATGGGGAAATATTTCCTGTTTTGGATGAAAATAACTTTGGGAGTAAATCAAGATCATTAGACTATAAAGTTAATGGACATCCTGATAAATTCACTGTAAACAAAAACTGATAATAACTCATTTGAATTTATGCAAATATTAAGATCAGCTATAAAACTAAAACTAACCCAAACTAGTACCACCGGTCATTAAAGTGCATAGCATTTATCCAGCGTGTATAATTCAAATGTATAGCTTTCATAATGCGTTGGGTTTATGCAGTGTTTTCATGTATAGCTTTCCGAACTCTACGTATTTTGCATAATATACACGCTCACCATGGTAACCAGCTAAGGTAACTAGCTAGCTGTGTTCAACCAAAGATCATAGGGCACTTTAACATGATGAGAAAATGAAGCAACACATCGTATCTTGGAACAGATTCTGTTAGGTAAGTTCTGCCCCTGGTAACAAGAATAACTATGTTTCATTCCCTTACACTAATAACCGGTCTCAATGAAATAACCTGGCCTTTTAAGAAAATTATAATAATGTTTAAAAGCAAGAAAATTTAGAAAACAATAGATGATATTCCGTATATAACTGATTTATGTTGACGTATTTAATCGCCGTTTTGTAGAAATGAATTCGAAGACTTAACTACTTCAATGCGTAAAGATTCAAAACGGAAATTCATATTTTTTGTTTGGGTTTGCATCGCCCTTAAACTAACTTGAGATCTATAAATAAATCTATGCTTGATTCTACCGGCTGTTTATGCTAAAAGTTAATGTACCTTCGTAACTTATGATTGCACCGATTCTGGCAAAGTCAATGCTTGTATATGAAACAGCATATAGAGACCAGAGGCCAACCAACCGTAGTAAATTCCCGGGAACGGATTTTCAAACGTTCCTCGATTTGGCATTACAGATCTAGAGATGATTTCAAGGCCTGTTTCAAATTTCAAATTTAAAAATCAATTAATCCGGCTTAATATTGACTATTCAACTTACAATGTCATTATATTTTTTAGCATTATTTAAAAAATAAGATATAAAATGTAACTTTAACACCTTGCATTGACTATTGATACCATGGTAACACACTCCCTTCCAAATGTTTGGCAACTCCAACCCCCGTATTTCGATCCCTACATGTGAAAGTCTATTACGTTTAACGTTTAACGAGCACCGTCAATGTCAGATTTTCGACCAATCATAACAAAGGAAAATAGTTCAAATTCATCATAAACAGCCTTTCATAATTTGACCAATGTTGCCAACCTTTTCGAATTGGGTGTATATTTGGCAAAACGCATATAATGTTATCTCAATTTCCCTGGAGTGATTTGGCATAAACAAAGGCAGATGTAATACAGATTTTCTTAACATGATTTCAATCCCTGGTTGGTTTATTATCTTTGGCTCAACTTCTATCTTTTTTCTAAAATAATGCCTTTAATATATTAGACTAACACAATCTGTTATTTCCATAAATGATAATCTATGGAATTTGATACGACCTTTTTCGAGTAAGTATCAGAATTCTCGCCTACAAGTGAATTCATTTCATTTTAAAAATACTGTTAGACGCTACATGTCTGGAATGGCTCATTTTACATAAAAGTAAGGGTTAATTTTTCAAGCTTGATTTTGTATAAAAGAATTTATGAATCATAGTCCATCTTTAGTTTTTACATCTATGAAGTTTCATGTGATTTTTGACTACCTTGAGAACGTTTTTTACATGAACGTACATATAAGTGTGTATATACCATACAAAGTGTTTAGATTGACAGGTGTACACTGTCAGTCTGTCACATGACGGGGTTTTTAACATGGGAGTCAATGGGAGGATAACAAGCGACACGTATTCAGACTAGAGATGTGTTGGATCACACAGGTCGGATTATAATTATGTTGTGGGATGTGTGCATGTTTTGATGATTTTAAGGGTTTAAACAAAATATTCCTCTTTCAGTCTTTACCTCATTGCAAACAATTTTACGATTGCTAAATCGAAATGAGAATTCATCAAATGGTCCAGCTATATATGATTGCACCTAGCTATACAGGAAAGTAAATGGAGAAACATTTATCGAATGGGGTTAGATAAGGTCGATGGATCCATCACTGCTTCCCTTCTTATCCATTTAACCCGGCTCACATTTCAAAACGCACAGATATAGATACAGATATGAATTTTGTTTTTCTCGATGAATTCTTGATTTCCGTTTGATTTTGTTCCACCCCATATTATCCTATGTTTACAGTCAACGACTAGGCTCTTTTTGATCTTTAGATCCTTTGGAGATTTTGTGAATGTATGGCATCGAAACTTTTCAGATTAAGAAGATCTACACATATCAGTTCATCTATATTATATTTTTGCATGTTAAATCAATGTAGAACACTGAAAGGAACTCGTTTTAAATAACCTCCAAATCTGAATATACATCCCCTCCATAAGTATCGCAACAAGAAGCCCAATCCTGGATCGCGTGTTAAAGTCTGATTATGTTTTGCGATTTAAAAATCAACAAGTAAAAAGATTTCGAACTATTGTTGTAAAAGACAAAATAAAGATCCAAACATTGCAAGCTTTAAAAATATGCTATCGAATGAAGACTCCCTATTGTCAAACTTATGAAGAGCAGTGTAATACCGAGTGAACTTTTCCTAAAGTTATATATAAAGTTGTTAGGATCTTTGATCATAAATATTTTCTTTTTCCAACACGAACTTGTAATCATATAAGATAAAAAATTACGTAATGTTAGATATAAGATACCAAGCAGCGAGAATCGTGATTTAATTAATTACATATTTCCATGTTTATTTTCTCGAACAATCTAAATGTATCAACGTGTGACGTCACTGACATGGATTTGAAACAGGTGGAAAATTCATTTTATTTGTCATATTGTAAACAGTTCTGCTATTTATCACCTTAGATATATCCATATAGCTCTTTATTGTATATCATCATAGCGTACTCAGGCGTAGTGCGTTTATAGTTATAGCTAAGTGTAGTATAGTGCAGTGTAGTGTGATGTAGTGCAGTGTAGTACACTGTAAGGCAGTGCAGGGTAGTGTAGTATAGTGCAGTGTTGTGTGATTTAGTGTATTGTTATACAGTGTAAGGTAGTGCAGTGTAGTATAGTGCAGTGTAGTGTGATTTAGTACATTGTAGTACAGTGTAAGGTAGTACAGTGTAGTAAAGTGCAGTGTAGTGTAATGTAGTGCATTGTAGTACAGTGTAAGGTGGTTCAGTGTAGTATAGTGCAGTGTTGTATGATGTAGTGCAGTTTAGTACAGTGTAAGATAGTACAGGGTAGTGTAGTGTAGTATAGTGCAGTGTAGTGTGATTTAGTGCATTGTTGTACAGTGTAAGGTAGTGCAGTGTAGTAGAGTACAGTGTAGTGTGATGTAGTGCAGTTTAGTACAGTGTAAGATAGTGCAGTATAGTATAGTGCAGTTTAGTGTAATGTAGTGCATTGTAGTACAGTGTAAGGTAGTGCAGTGTAGTAAAGTACAGTGTAGTGTAATGTAGTGCATTGTAGTACAGTGTAAGGTAGTTCAGTGTAGTATAGTGCAGTGTAGTGTCATGTAGTGCAGTTTAGTACAGTGTACGGTAGTGCAGTGTAGTATAGTGCAGTGTAGTGTGATGTAGTGCAGTTTAGTTCAGTGTAAGGTAGTTCAGTGTAGTATAGTGCAGTGTAGTGTATTGTAGTACAGTGTAAGGTAGTTCAGTGTAGTATAGTGCAGTGTAGTATGATGTAGTGCAGTGTAGAACAGTGTGAGGTAGTGCAGGGTAGTGTAGTGCAGTAAAGTTTAGTGAAGTCTAGT